GCTGAATATACAGCACCTTCACCCATCACCATTTATTGTCTTGTAAGGACCTGGACAGAGAGACAAACTTTTTGTTACAAAAAGTGAGTCAATATTCTTTGACAATTCTTTCATTCCACCACATCCCTATACTTGTTTCCAATATACTGTACCTTTTTATCTAAAACAAAAAGGGAAAAGCATTTTTTGATACTATCAAGAACAAACACAGGACCCTTCATGGAGTGCAAGAACTGCAGAATTCATATATCCAACCTCACATCCAACCTTTGATTTTAAAGTTATGCCATTACAATGGTGTTGCACAGTCATTACCCTCTACTTACAAAACAAAAGCAGGCATACTGACCAGTTGTCTGTGATGAAAAATGTAATATTCTAATAGACCATGTTGTGTGATAAGTGTGTTTGGAAAGAGTCACAAGTATTCGGATGATGTATGGAAAAACGAAATTTTCCAGTGCTGTTGGATGTGTTCTTGTAATCAAACAGCAGCTTTTCACACTTTCTCCACTGTCCAAGGTACTCTGTGTGTGGATAAAAACCACACTTAGTCCTTTGCAGTAGGTATAAAAAGGGGCACAAATACACTCTTATTAAACACTAAAGTAGAGATTAATTGGAACTCATTACTCCTTCCTTTTTAGGAAGAAAATAATTCTTTCATGATAAAAAAATAATTATTTCATGATAAAAGCACAGCCATTCAAGAATCTTTTTTTTTCTCACCCTGCAGTTTCTAGGTTACCAGATGAAAACTGGTACATGTGGCTGGTGACCTAAGTCTGAGTTAGAGGTTTATATGCTACAGGCTGATGGTCTTTGTCAATTCCTAAAGACCAAATATCTCAAAAAACCCCACTACTTCTCATACCATTGCCCATTTGACTGGAGAGCTGAACATGCATGAAGTTAATTCCTTTTCTGATAAATTCAATACAGAAATATGATTAATGATCCATCTTTTTTTCCTCTTTGCCATAAGCAGGTAAAGGTCTTCACAGACTGCCTGCACGTAGTTACTTCTAAATAAATGGGTGCCTGAAGGCTGTATTTTGTACTTAAATTATTGCTATAGAGAGCACTTTAAAACACTTTTGTCCTCCAATACTCAATTCCAATCCCTTCTTCTAGCAAAGTCTGATTAGCCTAGAACAAAACTTGATTAGAGTTTTCTGCTTTGCAACAGGATTTCTATGCATGCGTTTTGAAATTAAGGATTTTCCGAAAATGTCATGGTAGACTTTTTTCTATACAAAAAAGAGCAGCTATTGTCAATGTCTAACAAACTTCTTTGGTTTGTCTCTATATTTTCAAGCTTTACTTGTAACTTTTGTGGAAAAAAAAGAAGAAAACAAACCCAGCAAAAAACCCCAGCAACAGAACTTTGCATAGACTTGATATATGTGAGGATCTGGAATCACAGCCTGTCACAGAGAGTAATGCCTAAATATTTACTCAGTAAAACAGCAGACTCCATGCAACAAGAAATTTTCCTTTCTTTTTCCTTTACATAGGCAGATAAAATTGTTTTAAATTAATATAGCCACAGACGATTTAAACTATCAGTAATAACATGTAGCTGTTTAAAAAATGGGACTATTCAAGTTCCTTAGCACCATTTGATGATTTATTACCAGTCTCTTTCAATTTCACCTTTTCTGCACCAAGTGACTTCAAAATCAAAAGTGCCAGCATGCATCAATCTATAATATTCACAGTTAAGATGTATTAGTAACTATATTTAGTAACACTGTGTGCTATTTGTTCATAGAGGCGAGCATATTGTTATCAAGGGTGATTTTTAAAAAATGTAAGTCATGGTTGCAGTTATATATTCATAACACATCCTCAGAACTGAAATGAAAGAAAGAGCCTTATTTTATTTCTCCTATTTTATAATGTACTAATGTTGAGTTCCATTTGTACCAGCTGCACCTGGTTACCACTGAAGACATTTTGTTGCCCTCCATCTCTTCACAGCTCATTAGCTGAAAACAGAGACCAACTCTTGGGTCAGGAGCAGATGTATCATCTGTGTGCCTTGCACATGAAGAAAGCCGAGACTTGAACAGGGTCCCATGGGGTCCCTGGGTCTATTTAAAGGCCATTGTAGTCTCTAGGCAGGCAGCTCTACCATGTGTTCCAAAAGACAGTTTTCCTTCTGGTGGAAACACTAGGAGCTGTACCAAGTAGTCTCAGTGGGGCATCACTTAGATTATCAACAGGCTTACGCCAGGAATTAAAGCAATTCCATGAAAACAGAATTTTCTGGCAAACTGTTGGTGCAGTGTCTGCCTGATTCTCATGGAGCTTTTCTGAGGAACATTTGTGGAAGCTATGTGAATACACTAATGTTACAGCAATATCATCTTCTGTTCAGGAATGGCACTAATGGCAGCATCCAATGGCTGCTGAATACCTTTGTGCTTCAGGTGCTGCGTTTTCTTAGACTGTGTTGCAGGACACTGTGAAGTTGCATCTTTATTTTAAACTTCCAGTGTGCTTGTGTTTAGTCTCCACAAGAAATAGGTTCCCAACAAGTCGGATATGCTTTTGATTGGTTGTGTTCTCCAGCTTTGTCCTGGAGTTCAATATTCTGTGTATTGCTACAAAATGAGACCTCACAGGTATTTTCTGAACGTATGAGTTGAGACGATGGTTTGCAACTAAAGCAAAATATTCAGTAAAGCTGCTATACACAGCCAATCCCACCTCCTTCCATTTTTTTTTGTGTTTTCTTTGAAAATAGCATCTACATTTTCAATAACTACACAATATTCATGTACTGCATAGGAAGACAGCCACAGTCAGCAATCGTTCCCCAGGAAATGGAAAGAGTACATTATATAGATCTTATGCTTTTTATCTAAATGCAGTTAAAGTACTAGGTTTAGGATTTAGGTAAGTTCTTAAAGTTCATGGGCACTGGAACTATAAAGCAGTTCTGGTATTCTCCTGTTTAGGCTTTTCCCCACTTTGGGACTATGTAGAATATGTAATTATTAAATACCTAGTATTCAAGTCGCAGATGAAAATGGACACAGCACTGAATCTGTAGAACATATTGAAAACCTAATATAAGGAGTTTTATAGAAAATATGTATAATTTTAGGGCAAGTGGAAGAATCCCAGTTGCAAAAGAATAAAAATAACTGACCAGTTCCTCAAAAGGCATATACTCGGCAAAGCTGCATGGAATAACAGAATTACACCAGCAGAATATCTATCCTTTCATATCACATTTTTCATTTAACATTTGCAAACTGGAAATTTTCCCTAAACAAAATGGCAATCAAATTTTTTTCTTAAATTAAAGTGTGAATGAAGCTTCCTTGATGGGTACAGCTCAGAGAGCGCCACAGGTACAGCTCCCTGACAGCGTGGGAGAGCAGTTTTTCATTTTAGCTTATCAAAATACTCTCTGCAGGGAGTTGTTCTATTCCTGAGTATGGCAGCATTGCGAGAAGGAAAAGAGGTAGCGAACAAGACAAGGAAAAAGGGGAAAAATAAATAACCATGATTGTGGTGGGGTAGAAGTGCTCCATTCAAGCAGATCACAATGCTTTTTTTATTCAGCAGCTGTTCACTGAGGTGTAGAAAGCTGTAAGTCTGCAAGGTCTCTTTGCCTGGAAAATGGTTGGAGAAAAGCTGAACATACTGTATCAGTAAATGTTTAATCAAAAGCAGAAGTTTCTTCTATACCTTTTAATACATATATATATATGTGCATATATAAAACAACCCAACAGCATTTTTCAGTTAAATTATGGTACATAAACCCTATTGTTTCATTGGAAAAGAGTCTACGTGTCTCCTCCTTGATACGTTTCCTCAACTTGTCCTGAGAAACAACCAATGAGATGAATCCCTCTGGTAATCATGGCAATTGTTTCACACTGGGAACAGAACACAAAGCTGCTCAGATCATACAAGAGGGCAGATTTTTCTCCTCACAGTTTCAAACATTTCAGGGTATCGTGAGGAGTACATAAATGTTTGATAACACTTACAAAAATCTAAATGTCCAGGATAGATAAAACTCCTTTCCCACCTAGAGGTATGCCTTCCAACTTATTCCCTCGTTACTGTTACAAACACCTACTACAGTTCATTTTTCAAAGACGTCTTCCAAAGACAGAAAATTTCCATTGAGATGTACTCATCCTCCTTTTGAAAGTAAACAGGTGCTTGACACATGATTATACAAGATACAATGTGCATCCAAAACAGAAATTTGAGAAGGAAACGGAGAAAATCAAACGCTGACCAGAAAGACAAGACCAGAGCTCAGCTCTACCATAGACCGCCGTGGCACAGGCGGTCGCCAGCTGGGGATGTGGCCCACTTTTATTTGTCTGAAAAACAGTTTTCCCACTTTTTAAAGTCAGGCTTGCAGACATGGTTATCTAAATAATTTGCAAATAAGAAGACATCGCAGCAGCTTTGAGAACAAGACTGTGCTGCTGCTATGGATGTTCACAGCTCTCAGGGGCATCATGAGAATTGCACTAGTATTAGTATAGGATGAATTTGTGCCCTGGGAATTTAAGATTAGAGCTGGGCCAGGCAATAACCTTACCTTAACACATCAAACTCTATTCCCAACAAAACATATCAGCCTGATATTCTAGTATGTGTTGGTGTCTGGCTCAAAAAACACCCAACCACCCTCTAGAGTAGTGAGTGAACTTGCTTGCTTCTGAAGGTGACCCCCACAGCACTGATGTTGGATTTGGTGGGAATCCAGTGGGAATCAGTAGGCTGCAGCAAGGGCCTAAAAAGGTTACGGGTGAAGACAGGCTGGCGTGCTGGTGGGGGAGGGAAGGAAGGCCCCAATGTCAAATGCGCCATCGTGATGGAGCCCCAGAAGGAACCTTCTCCGGTCATGCAGAAACCTTCACATCAACCAACACAGTTTCATTTGTTTCCACCACTTTTTCACAACACAAACATGTCCCCCTTCCTCCCTCCCCCCAGCCCCCCAAACCCCTCCTTTCTGAACATACTGACAAAAGGAATGGCAAAATAAATAAATAAAGACTTAGCCTTTGCTTCAGGGAAGCCGCCTCTCCAGGTTTCTGCATTGGCGGTGACCCGGCTGGAGCTGGTAGGCATCAGTTTTCACGGCAAATGGTGGGTGTGGAGGGCGCCAGTAGGCTCCCTGGCCCTGGAGACAGGCTCCAGGCTTAACTGTCTGTCTCAGCCGGACACCCCCGGCTGTCATTGCACCAGCCCCGAGCCGTAGCTGAAGGCATAGCTGTTGGCCAAGGAGAGGGACTGCTGGTGCTCCTCGTCCTGCTCCGAGGGGTAGTTGGGAAATGTCTGCGCCCGGGACACCTTTGCTGAGCTGAGGCTGTGACCTGGAGGGAGGGAAGACATGAATGCAAAAGATGTAACTGGGTTTGAAGCCTTTCACCATGGACATGGACTCGGACGGATGAAGTTCATACAGCCCCAAAGTGCCAGGGCACCTGGAGAGCAGCCATGCTACATTGGGCCCTCCTGGGGCTGCAGAAGAGAGTATTTCCTGTGGCTGAGGGCAGAAGTGGTTGACAGATTCCCGGCAAAGCCCTAGATCCAGCTCAGGCATAATTTAGGGTCAAAAGTCTTTTAAAATTTCAGAGTGTAACATCTGTATATTTTCTACTCTGTAAGTCTCAGCCATGTTAGACAAATGCTCCTCTTTTTTATCTGAAGCACTGCTCAAGTGGTAGAAGTAATGCCAGAAGTTTCAAAGGGATTAGTCTCACAAATGCCGCTTCTTGTACTTAGTGTCTTTCAAAAAGGATGCAAATTTATCAGGTCAACACAGCATCATTGTCATTTCAAAAAGCACTGGAGGTGGAATATGGTGCACATGGCAGAATACTCGTTGGGAAGAGGACGTGCAAGATGTTTTTTCAGATGGGCTTGTGAATCTCATATAACCATGACTTCCATTAACAAGATGAGAAACCATGTGTGAAAAGCCAGTGACAAAACTCAGGTGACTCTTATGACCCAATTCTGTAACTTGATAATTTTCCTATCTCAGAATACCCTTTTGAAATTGAGCTTTAATTAGTAACAAAAAGTAAACTTCCAAAGTGTATATCTTCATGCAACATTTATTGTCTTTTTATTTTTGAAATATATATTGAAGCTTGGATTTAAAATGGTTTTGTGTAATGCTTTTAAAAATGTCTTTAATACATGTATTATCTGTAGGAATGCAAAATCATATTTTAACTTAAACCACAGAGATATTAAGAAATAGATGCGATGGTATAGACAAAAACAATAAAGAATTTAGCTCATGTTGAAATCTTCCAAAACGGTTAGCAGCTTTCTAGACTGGCCCAGTAGTGCTGGAACCAAGAATGATGTTCACCGGATTTGAGAAAACTTTGTCATAACTTGCATTTGGAAAAGTTTGATTATGGTATGTTACTGATTTCCTCATGAAAAAAAATCATGATTTCCCCTGAACATGAGTCTATCAGAGCAATGATCGGACCAAGAGAGCAAAAAACCCCAACTAAATGAAAAATAGAAAAAAAGGTACATCTTAGTGACACTGGAGACAATAAAATTAGAAACTAAACTCCCACTGACATGTCAATTGTCATAAAAATCCCTTTCATAGCATGACCAAACAGGATGAATTTTTTAACGAATTTTTGTTATTCATTCACTGGGTTAAATTGACATTGGCTATCAAAACTTGACTGAGATGAGAAATTTAAATGTTTTCTGCTTCAAAAAGCTTTTGCATCAAACTGAATTAAAGTGTAACAAGGCAAAAACACTGATAATGTTTGAGATTAGTTTTAAAGGTTTTATTGCTTTGGCCAAGTTTTAAAAACAATATTAAGTAAAGCCTTCATTCATTTTTTACTTTTATTTGGGATTTGCATCACTGTTATTGTCAGGGTTTTTTGTTTCTAATTTAATGCAAACCTAAACATAGAAAGTTGCAAGATTGGTTTTAATTTTGTGTTCCATATCTGGCATTTTTCCTTCTAAGGATGCAAACCCTTGTTTTCTTTTTATCCAGAAGCTAAAATCATTGTATTTTAAGGGCCATAAGGAATGGCTAAACTAGCCATGCGATTTCCTATGTAAAATTTGTCTCTTTCTTACTAATAAAGATAAATAAAATATGTCAAGGTATATTTAACTCCATTCTCTTAATGTATTTTATCCAAAAAATGTAAAACAGTCCCTGTGACAACAATCAGAAGTAAAGAAACTTACCAGTCAAGGGAGTTCCCTAACCCAGGCCTATTTTTGTCATATGCTGTATCTCATATAATTAATTTTGAATTCACTTTTTTAGAACAGTGCAACTTTAATACAGTGATGAAGAGAACCCCTAAACTAATTTCTAGCTAAGGAACTACGAGAGTCTCTTAGAATGTAGATGAATTTGACCCTATTAGGGTTAAAAAGGAAATTAAATTCAGCTCTTTCATTTCCTGTATATATGCCTCAAATGTTAGCACATCCTGTACTGTTCTTTGAAAGAAAATTTGTAGCTGCTAAATCTCACAAAAGGGCTGATTTTAGCCATTCTGTAACCAAAGTGGTTAATGAGGATAAGTGACTTCTTCTCTCCTGACTGCTAGGATATGTAGTGAAAGAGCAGAGAGACACACAGATCCAAAAAGTTTAAGGCATGCTTAATAAAGCCAAGAGGTCTAAGACTCATGGTTGATGTCAAGTCGAACAGTATGATGTCAATTTACGAAAATACTAGCATAAGGAAGAGACAACATTGGTTCAAATGAAATGAGAAAGCTACGGGTAATAGAGAATTTGTGAGTTTAGGAAAGAATGGATCTATACAATATATTTACTTTCAACTTACATTTTTAAAAAAGCAATTAACGATGCTAACACATTTCAATAAATGAATAAAAAATAATCACGGCAAAATAATGTCCAGTGGTTCCAAGCTGGGTAAAGATTTCTAAGTAGTAAATTCCCAAAATTTAGGGTTTTTTTCAACTTTTTATTAAAAATCAGTATATCATATACTGAAAATTTTAAATTATAACAGATTCTTTAATTTGCATTCCTACTAAATATTATTGTAATACTCATACAGCTGATCAGTCTTATGGAATCTTAGGTACTGTGGTGTCTCCAAAGTTAGGCTTTATGTCAGCAGTAAGGATTTTGAAATTAAAGATACAGGGGAAGTTTTTGTAAGTAAAGAATTAAAGTTTCATAGCTTTCTAAACTTTCAGTTTCAGTCATATTTGGGGCCTAAGAGGTTAAGAGAGAAGAAGAATGCTGTTTGTGGATTTTGCAGCTCTTTTGTACCACAGCTGTTTTCAAGAATACAAAACCAACTCTTCTCTAAAATTCTTCTGAAGTCAGCATAAGATGAATTTGATTAACACACACTTCATGACCTGAGGACACCAATAGTACTGGGAGAGGTTTTTTTCATGTGGTTTACAGAGGAAATGTATTTTTTTTCTGTTCTAGGACAGGACCTTGGAAACATAAGCATTATTCAGCCTACTTCATCCTTTATTCAAATTTACTCTCAGGATTAAAGAATGCAATGGAGCTGTAGTCTAAAGTAATTAGGTATGAATGATCCATCAAGAAAATCTAATGTAACCCAGCAAATTACACTAAAATTAGATTTGTCCTGATCTTAATTATGCTGGAAGCAGAGGCAGTATACACAAGGATCTTATTTCATGGCATCGCGCTTATTTATAACAGTTCTTTAGAAGAAAAACCCAATGGTTTCCTAGTAACAGCAGTGACTGATGTACATATAAGTAGATCGATCACAACTTCTGAGAGAAAACTTGCAGTACCCAGCTAAATGAAAAGAAAAAAAAAGAGGAGAAGAGATCCACGGATAAGCTTTAAAAACTCCCTTACTGCTGCTTATTGAAGATGTTTCTCTCCATTTTGAATTCAGAATTCAAATTCTTAACTAGAAGGCAGGTGCCGAAACTTTTTCTTTTCTAAATGAAATAAAGGTCACACTTTTCTAATACAAGAATTCAAGGGATTCTCATCTGATATTCTTTGGTTAGAGCACTCATCTCTGATGTAGAAGTCCTGTGTTAAAATTCCCCTCTGCCTGTGGATATGGTTCGACATAGCATTTTCTGTAAAAAATCAGCTGAAAATGTTCCCTTTCTCCTCTGTACCGACGCTGCTGTTCACTGCCCTCAGTTGTGCCATTGCGACTGAAAGACTGTTTTGTAGACTGAAGCACTCTGTTCATCTCTTTTGCAAGAGCCCTACAAATCACTGTATTGGCAAAGCCTAGGACCAGGAACAAGCAGTCAAGCCAAGGGTAAGAAATTGGCAGGGGTTTCTCAGGCTGGTTTTAGTGCCAGTTTGTTTGGCGATTGATGACCTGTGAGCAATATGTAACCAAATACAGGTTAATGCAACTGCCACCAGATTACTTACATGCCAGAGGAAGGACCACTTTTGAAATCCTCTGACTAAGCTTTTCTAATACAAGATCTAATATAAGTTTATATTTCTGCAGTACAATGATTAAAAATTAATAGAACCAGAGACTTCTGTGTTTCAGCTTCTGTTGCAGGTCTTTAATTACCTCATATGAGATACTCATTAGGTAAAATAAAGAAACAGACTTTTGCAGCTGCACAGTAAGTTTTCATCTGGGATTTCTTAACCTCTGAACAAACAAAAGGGTGTAATTCTAATGCAGTTTTATTTTTCTACATAATAATAAATTTATTTTTGAAAATAAAATTTGACATTTTCATTTCCAAGATTATGAGTGCAAAACTGAAGTCATTAAATTAAAGCCAACTGGATATTTTATTGGTACTGTGTTTTGTTCTTGGGAGTGCTCTGAGACTTCATGAGGACAAGAGTTCTGTAATTGCTATAGATGTTTCTGTAAATGATATAGAAAAACATGGTTACTCAAAAGAAATTTCTATGAATCAATAAGTGCAAGCTAAGACCAAGTAAAGTGAATCACTAATTTCATTGTAAAGCAATCTTTTCTTTTTAGAAATATTAATTGGAAAATTCTGTTGTTCACAATAAACAGAACAGTCTGGAAAACAGAAACAAAGATGATGAGACTTTATCCTTGCACAAAGGATAGTGCAAGGAGGTGGAAAAAAACCAATTAGCTAACATATGTTTGAGGAATGAAACATTAGTAAGAAGGAGTTAGTTCTATGTTGTTTCCTCACACAATTCTCACCGGACAATATAAATGTAGCCCTTGGGCCAGAAAAGTTCACAAAACTAGCACCAGTCTTTAATCTAGATTTATGTTCTCTATGGACTTTCCCAACAGCAGTGAAAGATCCTATTTATACTAAAGGAGGTCCACCAATTGTAATGAGGATATCAC